TGGCCTGTGAATTCTGTTGTCCTGAAGGTCTTTAGGTAGATCACTCGTCCTTTTTATTAAGTGGCCTAACTTTGATGTTAGGTATACCCGGTATGGAATTTTTTTCTTAATTTTATTTGTCTTGGTTGCTGTTTTTATATATTTCTGACAAATAAATTATAATAATTAATATTAATAATAATTTTGCAAAACTAATCAAAAATTCGGTCTAGGTGTGCAAAAATATTGTGTCAAATGACATATTGTGTAGATTTTAAAAACCATTTTATAGTAATCACTAATTTCTTAAAAGATCCAAGTCAGTGTTATACTTCTTAATACCAAATGAGTCTCATAAACGTGTTCTGAATTTTAAATTGAATTATTTTCGATTTCATAAAAGGTTACAGGATGTAAGTAAAATCTCAGAAACTTTGTAAAAGATGTCGAACTTCGACCCTCGTCTGCATTGGAAATAGTACTGTGACCAATTCAATTACAGCAACGAAAAAAAACATTTCGATTCGGCCAAATCTCGGTATGCCTTTTGTGCAAACACACACACATGCATTCTCGTGTTGTTTTGGTTTCGGCGCAGGTTGTTGAACTGCCGGTGTGGACAACTTTTCGAGATCCGTCCGGAGCGTTCTTCTTGTTCCTCCTCACCTCAGTCGGCGTTGTCTCATCTCCGTCGTTTCTCTTCACTTCACTCTCTGATGTGTTTCAAAGTTTATTACGAGCCTGGAAACGAGTTTTACGCGAGGCGAATTCTTTTTCTCCTCTTTCTATATTTCTCTCCCTCGAAAAGCCTCAGAAACGTATATACACACACACATACAAACGCACTGAGAGATAGGCTCCGGCTTAGTCTTTGGAAAGCAGCCGGCATGATAATGTAAGAGGATGAGGACAACAATGAAGTGGATGAGACTACGCAATTATATCAATTCAAAGTGCACTCACATCGCCATAATATCCATGTGAATTGTTATTATCATTATTATTATATAATAATAAGGCCCTTATCGCCGCGGATCTAATTTGTATAGCTGCCCCACTTATTATGCAACTCGCAAAAGGAGCTTTTACTCTCATTCCTATTTTATTATCCTTTCCAATTTGCGCTACTTCCAGTAAGCATTTTGACCGCAAGAAGTTTTCGCGGAATCTTATTTGCGTCGCGTAGCAACGGATAATACTTTGAAACCAAAAGTCCGAAAAGAAAAGAGAATAAAGATCGATGCGAACAAATGAGGAACAGCTTCGGGATGAAACGCGATACATCCTCTCGGCTAATTACGATTGACCTCTACGTCCGTCCTTCTTCCATCCACTTGCATTATTCTCATTCTGCCTTCGTCCGTCCTTCATTCTCCATTTTCCTCTCCGCAGCAGAAGCGGTTATAAATATATTAAAAGAAACTTTTGCCTCGGGCGGGAGAGTCCTTCGCAAGAAACTTTCCACGAAACAATGGTGCACTTAAATTTAAACTCGAAAGAGATATATAGATATTCCGCGTCTTCAGGCTCGACGATCCTCTTCGCATCTCCATCTACCTCCTGGAAATAAAATTCGCACGATGATTTGTTGGTTACCATGATGGAATATTCTCGTTCTATTCCGAAGACCATTCGATTTGCTTCACGTACTCAACTATCGTAATTCCATATACATATATAAATAATGTTGTAACAACATCGGGCCGCGTTCGTTCCCTTTGTGTTAAGGCCCTTGTTGGAGCGCGAACAAATAACGCGAATGCAGATGGTCGTTTCGCCTGCAGAGATTTAGACAAAGCATTCAAACACATTGGACCATGAGGAATATCGATTATGCACGCATGTAGCATACACGCGGAGAAAGGATGCCGAGGGGAGGTTTTGGTGCTTGTTGGAGGGTTTCATTACAGCCGCACACAACAACTACGCGAATTTACGTTTATACACAACCTGAACTTAATCTCATTATAGAATTATGAACCCAATGAAAATCTATACATGATTTTCAAATAAATGTCGTTCGTCCCTATTAACTGCTCAATATTTAACAGGGATTTTAAATTATATAATAGTAGTCCAATATAAATAAAAACTTAAATTAATAAAGTCTTATATTTACAGAAAATATTCATCAAGATAAAATGGAACAAAAAAGCCAATTACTACACATAATTAACTTTTATGTCAAAAACTATTCTACCAAATTTTAATTCACATGATAATTAACATTTAAATTATAAACATTACGAGAATGAATCTATCAATGTATCTTAGTTTTGTTGCGATCTAAAAGAAAACTTACAACTAATGGAGACAAAATTAAGTATCAAAACAATAAACATGTGAAAATGAAAAAAATAAAATTATATATTAAAGATTTTTAACAGAAACTATGCAAGAAATAATGAAATTTATAATGAAAAACTAAATTTCATTAATTAATGATATTGAAAGTTGCAATAAAATCGAATATAAATAAATAATAATCGTAAAATAACTTTTTCTCATTTAAAGTTGTCGAAATGCAAATTTCTTGCCATAAATCTCGAACTTTACCTAAGTTACAGTCTGTTTTGTAAGAGATGTATCTGGGAATTCGTTTTAAATCCGATTTGCGCATAGCAAAATTGGTTTTAAAACTATCGTTTTATATAAGTACCAAACTTTAAAACTATAAAATCTGAATCAAATGACATTCCTTTCCGAATTATTTTAAAAATCTTCATTCTTATCGTGAATTATAATATAAAATAAAGTATAAAACAATAAATACCAGGTAAAAATCTTATGATATCAAATAAAATATTTAAAAAAAATCAAAGAGGTGTATAAATGATTTTACTATTGATTCACACGGAAGTTATACAGAAGTACAGTATATCAACTACGCCTATGTATTTGAATATATACATAAGCCTATAGGCATCGAAGAACTAAACTAATACTCTAATAACGAGACTTTTAAATCAAGCAAAATACTTATTTATATTTGAAGTTTTACTAAATGTTTTTCAAAATCTTAATATTTTAAAGATTGCTTTACGATGTTTTGTTTTTTGGACTCTCTATTGACGGAATTTCTTATAATATATATTATTCTAAATATGTTACCTAGTTTTCAGTGTTTCTTCATTAACATTATTATTCCAGTTTATCAATATTACTTATTTATGTTTTCAATGTTTTTGGCATTTCTATTATTTTTATTGTATTCCTCTAATTACCAAATATTTCCTATATTGTAAAATTAGCAGTTTTTAATGATTTAGATATTACTACTTTTCAAAGATTACTGATTAATTATTTGACTCCGAATTACTCGTAAGATTATAAATATTTTTTTTTATTTTGATTTTGTTAGCTTGAGCAAATTCAATAGTCTTCATTAAATTCCTCATTAATCATAAGATTTAAAGACTTAATCAATATATATGTTGACTACTCGAACAAATTGTATAGTATACTAAAAATTCTCGATTGTTAGATTTTAAATACTAAGAATCATACTTTGTTTTTAGCAATTTAATCGAATTGAACTTTCAATATTTATTGATAATGCTTTTTCTCATACCGACAGATCAATCTTAAACTTTGCCTATATTTGTATTAGATTTTTTTACGAATTTCAGGTTTTTCTTTAATTCTGTCATCCTAAGATTTTAAAGATTACTTTTATATTAAAATTTTGTCAATTTAACAAAATTCTATATTATTCGTAAATCCACAATTAATCAAGGCTACTTCATTATTTATATTTTTGGCCACTCGCCCAAGTTCGTTAAATTTCTAAATTATTCTTGATTAAGGAAGCAAAGGGACGAGCTTATTGCTATTTCCTGAGATCTGTACTCTAGATGTCTATCATGGCATCCCTTATCAAATACGAAAATCAACTTTCGCTTGAATAATTAATTGCACCGTTGCAGATTTATCTGTAATTAAAGCTCCCCAGTCGGAAGGGTAAGATCGTTCCATCTTCTTGGTCTTCTCATCCCTCGACACATAGATTTTTCCCCGAGTACTTGGGGCGTTGGGTTGGCGAGGGGTGCTCTCGCGCATACATAAAAAAACGAGTACACCAGACAATTGTGAAGCAGGGGGTCGGAGAGGAAGACGACGTTGTATATGCATTGAGTGGCGAGAGGATGAGATGACACCTATGTAATTGGTGTGTTTACAAGTGAGAGGGCAGATGTATGGGTGTAGTGTATGCAGATGCAGTGGCCCTATCAACCCTTATTAGAGTACCCCGACGACGTTCACATTCAGGAACAAAACAAAGAGGAGGAAGAAAAAAAAAGCATTTGAGAGTGGAGAAATATATTAAAATGCGATGAAAGAGTAAATCGTGAATGCAATTTTTTGGCAATGCCACTTGGTCCTTTGATGGAATTTAGGTTGATTACTCGGCGAGCCGATGAATGGTTGCTCGTGCTCATTTTTCCTTTAAGAATCATTAAATTTAATTAATTTACTTCATCAAATGTCTGATCCGCTGTTCCTTCCGGTTACAAAAGCTCTAAACACATAAAATTTCTTTGTTTTTGTAATTTGTAGATTTGGTAGTAATTAATTTGCGCGCGGAATGCGCGCCGGTACGTTGAAACGTCGAACGAAGTGCATCCACTCCTTTTGATGTTATTTTTGTAATTTAATTTTCAATTAAAACCGAGCGGGAATGTTTGCCGCGTGCATAAATTACGTTGCCGGTGCCCTTTTGAAAACCACACACACACACACAGAGACATGCTTACATACAACATACGCATACAACAGAAAGAGATACTTTGCTGAAATGCTGCACACCATTCCTCTCGTTCATTTTGCAGATGAACATGAAAACCGGAGTTCTTTTCTCCTCTTCGGCGTGTCTTTATCCAACATCCCCAGCGACAAATTAATTATAATTGAAAAGGCTTCAATTATCTCATGGGACCAGTTTAAGTACTCTGCGTGTGTATTTATTTTATGTATTTATTTTTGCGTGGTGTTAAGAAGATGAAGAATGCATGCAGACATACCTAGATGCATCATAAAAACGGCGCACACTACAACTCCAAACATCTCGATGATGATGATATTATTCTCACTCTACTGCTGTATTCAATAATGTCAGTTATTGTTTTCATATAATTTACATTGTCTATAATTCAACGGTTTTTGTTGTGCCTTCTATCCCAAAAAATGCGAGGGAACCGGACGACGTCTGTTGAAGAAACCACCCCTTGCGAACGCGCGCGTACAACTGAAGATATTCTTTGCCATCCACTCCCGACTATATTCGTCTCTCCCCCTATAACTATACCTATATATATATAACATGCATGTCCACAAGCCGGTTTGTGTATTTCGAATTGCCTCCACAACACAGGCCGTATACACACGAGCGTAACCGAGGAGTTTGCTTAGGCCACAAACAAAACCAATGTTGTAGAATACTACAGATCTATATTATAGGCAAGCCATCTAACAGATATGAAACTATTTCAGCTAGTGGTGTTGTACTTTTAGTTACGCACTATTTTTATTAATTTCTACGAGTTGTACTCACAATGAATTTTTATTATTTGTAAAATTTTAGTCAATTCGAACCTATCAACCATAACTAATTGTGCACTCTCAGTTTGTTACCTTTCTTTATGATTTGGTCATTTTTGTGAATTCTATCGTCAATGCTATTTCTCAATTTTTAATTGTTTTCAAAGACGTAAACTGTATAAAACAAATTTGAAGTAAACAAAACATTACTAAAAAAAATACAGAATTATTGTTCAGTAACTTTGATATAAATCTCGCGTTAAAAATTTAATTAATATATAAACGAATATATTTCATTTAAAATTTTACAATAATGATTTTGTGAAATTTTTGTTTTCGCTTTCGCTTAAAACAAGATAAAAGTAAAAAATATCGTAATTGGACATTTGTTTAGAATAATTTTTACAGAATATGAAATAATATGGTTAACCCCTTTTTATAGTAATTTCTTACATTGTATTGTTTCCAGTAATAAATAAGGGAAGAAGTACTTTTTTTCTACATATTTTTATTGAGAACACAAAGAGGTGTAGAATTTAACTTTAAATAATTGTTGTACTGCTGGATAATGCTTTTACTAGTTTATATAATTGTTTGTATACAGTTACGTAAACTTTTAAACTTTTATCCATCTAAATGGAAATATTTTTATTTTCATTTTCGTCTTACCAATTTGAAAATCTGGTCACCTAACTCTGAGTACAATCAAACCGAAATACCGAAATTCCGACGTTCGAAATCCCGACTATATGAAATTATCGACAACCATAATCCAGACTGTAACAGAATCTCGACAACCATAATCCCGACTATATCGAAAATTTTATTTTTTATTTATTTCGAAGCGTAGTCACCTTGTGCTACATTTTTATTATATTTAACAAAAACATATTATTAATTTATTTCATTTTGTTGAATTATTTATAATAAACCTTAACATTATGAAATAATCTCAATACAATTAGATTATTAATTGTTGTTATTTATTACTAATAACAATTTAAAAGTGACTACGCTCTGGAATAATTTAAAAATGTTATTGAAAACATTTTCGATATCGTCGGGATTTTGATACAGTCGTGATTTCGAACGTCGGGATTTTAATATAGTCGGGATTATGGTTGTCGGGGTTTCGATACAGTCGGGATTTCAAATGTCGGGATTTCGAACGTCGGGAATTTGATTGACGGTATTTCGGTTATCGGGCTTGCAATTGCCATCGTCAAACTATATAATATGCAACCAGGTTAACACGTAAATCAGTTTCCCTTCTTAAACAATAATCAGTGGCAGATTATCCGTTCAGGTAATGAAGCACGTGCCGAACCTATAGCATTTAAAATGGGTCTATATCGAAATTCCGACAACCGAAATCCCGTCAATCAAATTCCCGACATTCGAAATCCCGACTGTATCAAAATCTCGACTATATCAAAATGCTGACTGTATCAAAATCCCAACTATATCAAAATCCCGATTGTATCTAAATCACGACTGTATAAAAATACTGACTATATAAAAATCCCGACTGTATCAAAATCCTGACTATATCAAAATCCCGACTGTATCAAAATCTTGACGATATAAAAATACCAACTTTATCAAAATCCCGACCATATCAAAATTCCGAAAATATCTTTTATTATTAAAATTTCTACAATAACCTTTTAAAATTACTCCGAAGCGTAGTCACCATCTACTACATTTTTATAACTTAATACTGTCGGGATTTCGAATATCGCAATTTTGATTATCGGGATTTCGGTTGTCGGGATTTCGATTTCCACCGTTTAAAATAAGTTCAAATATTTTATAAATAATAATTTACACATGGGTCACTGTCAATAATTGTCCAATATTGCAGTAATTCAAAATCTTTTCACGTCACACCTCACAACACAGGGACCAAGTTATATGAGAAATCTGTTGCATAGCCACTGCCAGGAGGACCAAGTTATATGAAAAATTTGTTGTATGGCCACTACTGTGGCGCAGTTATCGAATCCTTAGTACACCGGCAGCTCTATAGGTACAAGTACAAGTGCCAAATAATATAAAATTTGGAAATTTCTTATAAAATTCCAAACAATAATTAACCAATGCGTTTTATTAATATATTAGATTAATGTCTTCGATTTGCATTTCAGGTATTGAGAAGTGTTGAATAATTAATCCTTTCATTCTATATCACTATATTTATATGACGTACAGTTATTAATTTAAGAAATGTAAGTATTGTGTCGTAAGTATTGCTTAAATTTTGAATAATAAGTAAAAATACATTATATTGAGATTATGTTGCTTTGTTTTGGTGTAATGTTCCATAGGCAACTCTTTAGGGGCACCACTCGATTTCCAGATTCGCGAGGGCACGCCACCACACATCGTCTTTGGTCCCTTGTGGATGACTTCCAATATTTGACTTTCTCAATTTTTTTATATGTCAAAATTCTCTCGGCACACTTTTAGTCATTTCGAAGCACATCGGGTGGAAAGTTCCGCAATGTTGAACTAAAAAAAAATATGCATAAAATTGACAATTGCAAGCCCGACAACCGAAGTCCCGTCTATCGAAATCCCGACTACTATAATCCCCACAATCAAAATCGCGACTTTATCGCGACAGTGTCTTATAAATTTCTACAATAACATTTTTATGGTAGTCGGGATTTCGAACATCGGGATTATGGTAGTCGGGATTTCGATATAGCCGGTATTTTGATAGTCGGGATTATGATAGTCGGGATTTTGACATAATTGGGATTTCAAGCGGCGGGACTTTAATACAGTCGGGATTTCGAACGTCGGTATTTCAATAGACGGTCGTTAGGTTGTCGGGCTTGCATAAGAAAAAAACATTTAATTTTGTGTACTAATAAATAATAATAATAATTTATTGGCCAATTTATCAATACATAAGAAAAAAAAGTACATTTTATACTTAAATAAATTCTAACATAAAATAAAAAAAATATATTAATAGGCTGGCCAAAGGGCTAACGACCGAGGTTTTTCCGCCCATTGTGTACTAATATTTCAGAAATTAAATTTATTTTCCTCGATCATGAGTTTGTCTGAATAAGAAATCGGAATTTTTTAAAGCCATTTTTAAGCTTATATATGTTATAGTTGATAGTTCTTTAATATGGAAAAGAGCTGCAATTATTTACTCAAAGATACGCTTTGTTTTAAACCGATTGTGTTTTCTTGGCAAACTACAGTTTTATGAAATGTACAGGTTCCTTTAGTTATTTGTAGTTAGCTGTAGACACGTTTTATCAGTATAAAATCTACTGACAGATGGCGCATACATCTCAAGTAGTGTAATAGTAGTTTAAACACTTTTAGTAGATGTCGACACAAACCAAATTCTGTCCCATCTAATAGATTTTCTACTATGAATTGAAATTCGATTAATTTGCAATATAAAGACTATTTACAGCCACATTTTTAAGAACTCTATTAATCAAACTGTACTGATTAATTGCTTTCAGAAAGGGCGAGATGAAAAGTCGTTGGCGGTGATATAATAACGTGGCAAGTTTCAATATGCGGATAAGCCTAAATACAAATAAGTTTAAGCCGGGATAATCTACAAATAAAACACGGACGGTAGGAGAGAAAGTATTAACTTTTTAAATCACCGCCGGATTCTTTATTTGTGCGTCCATCGATTTTCCTTAAAATCCGAATTACATTATCGAAAGTGAAAACTGAATTCATGAAAGTAAAAGGAAAATTATGATTCATTTATATTTCTATTGAAATTGATTAAATATTATTTAAAATTTAATTCTTTAATTTAAATAAATGTAATGAGAGGTATATTTTAATTGTCTTTTAATAAATACAAAATATGACAAAATAATTCTTATATTACTTCATATGTCATAAAGGAAATACGAGTATTCTGACACATACATTTTTTTTACTATTATCATTCAATACGTAATAAAAATGTGGAAAAAACAACTTTTTTTTACATATTATTAACGTAACTAAAACAAACATCTGTTATAAAAATAAGTAAAATTGAAACCAAATAAAAATTACTATTATTTAATAGATACATGCGATAAATGATCTTATAATAACACAATTTACTTCAATGAAGCGAAATTCCTCTCTATAGATTGGCTTTATAACCTAGACTTACCTACATCAAATAATGTTGAATACTTGGGCGTGTTCTTCAATAGAAGATTAAGCTCCTTAAAAACGATATCAAATCTATTGAAAAATGTAATGAAAATACTAAAATTGAAGAGAAAAGTATATTGTAATAACATCTGTAAGATTTTTAATGGTAAAATTAAATAATTGTTCTGTGATTTATCAGTATTTTCTACAATGTACCTCTAATTATGTCTGGTGTACTATAATATTTCTGATAAATAACGATGTCTTTCAATTTAAAAGTGTTCAAAAATGACAAAAAAAAAAAAAAATAACTGTGATTTATGAAAAAGTGTTATTCTTAAGCAATTAGTATTAAATTCAATAATTCCATATAAGTAATTGTTAAATGAACGAAAAATAAATCACAAACAATAAACTTTAGTTTTATATATTAAAATGTGATTTAACTTTGTACCTAAGTTGACCATTAATATAATTTATTTTTGTTAGAAACTAAATGTTTTATCCCTGTATACGAAGATTTGCTTAACAAAGTAATTTCGTGATATGCAAGTACAAGATTTACAAACCTAAGTT